CTATTATACATTTAGTCCTTATTTACACTTTCAGTTTCTCACACCAGAGAAACTATTCGGTATTTATACATGTGTGTCCTCACTCTAGATTTTGATTATGCCTCTTCCTAGACAATATTCCCACCTCTACTCTCTATTAGAATCACTTGTTGATCTGCTTTCTATTATCACAGAATAATTTTATAAGATCTTTGTTTACTATCTTCATAGCACACCTTTCAGCCCTACTCTCAACCTCCTGGCTGGAAGGTATCCAAATGTGTCAACGTCTTTCTTAGAACTAGATATTTGCAATGTGATGTTAATCCAGATGTGGTTTTAATAGTCAAGAAAACCAATGTAATGTTAAAATTTAGGGCAGTCTCAAATATACATATTGACTCACATGAAATTCAAAGTCATGTAGAGCTCCCAAGTGTAGAAAGAACTGCTATAAAACAAAATTGCTCTTTCTCTTGCTCTTGCTGTCTCTGTCTCTCCACTCTGGACTAAGTTCAGAATTTTACTTTTATATTTGCTGGGCCGGGGATTTAGCTCAGTGGTTCTGTCGCCTGCCTTGCAAGCGCAAGGACCCAAGTTTGATCCCTAGTACCAAAAACAACAACAAAAAAGAAAATACTTTTATATTTGGTGCAGTTTAATTGTTGACTTTTCTTATTGTATTAAATATTCAATTAATTTAAAATTTTGTAACTAATGCATTTTAAACTATTCCTTTTTACTTTGTGTTTTCTGTCAGTTTGAATATCACACATTTAAATATCACAAAAAAGATACAACCTTTTTTTTGAGACAGGGTCTCGCTATGTAGTTCAGGCTGCCCTTAAACTCACTGTGTAGCCCCTGGCTAGTCTCAAACTTGTGGCAGTTCTCCTGCTTCAGTCTCCTGAGTATTGGTATCTCGGGTGGGCACTACTCCCAGCTTACCTTTATCAAAGCCTTGATGGAAATCCTGACCAGAATGTGGCGAAGAAAAGTGTCTTAAGATGTTTACCTAATTCTGTATCTTTTTTTTTTTTGGTGCTAGGGATCAAACTCAGGATCTTGTGCTTGTGAAGCAGGTGTGGCAACACTGAGCTAAATCCCCAGCCCCTAATTCTGTATTTTAAAATACAGAATTATCAGTTGGGATTGATCAGTTGGGATTGATTTTCTCTAAGTTGGGATCGACTCTGCCTAACCATTCTGGTACACAGCTTCTGCATCTTTATTTTGTTTCCAATGGTACTGATTATGTATTTTCGAGGCATATGCCCCTGTGTGAAGTACATTTTCTTTCCCGTCTACACTTACATTCTAGGTCCTCACCTTGAATATCATGGCTTAAAATACACCACCATGCAGAGAGGTCCAAATTTATTGTTCCAGCTTGGACATTTCCTCTGAACTCAGATTAACCACATGAGATTAATCACATTTCCATCTGGAGGTATAACAGTCACCTCAAACTAACATATAATCTTAGTCTGTTTTTTGCTACTATAATACGAAACCAGAGAGTGGATAATTTACAAATAATACAGATTTGTTTCTCATAGTTCTGACAACTAAGAAGTCCAATATCAAGGTGCCAACAGGTTTAGTGTCTATAAGGGCTGCTTTCTCTTCCAAGATGGAACCGTGTTCCTCCTTTGGAGGAGAACACTTGGTCCTTACATGGTGGAAGTACATTCCGCTGACCTTGAGCCATTTTATCAGGGTGCTCATCACATTTATGAAGGCAGAGTACTTATGAATTAATCATAATACTGCTGCTTTGGGAACTGAATTTCAACATGAATTTTGGCCTGAAGGAACACCAGCTTTCAATCCAAAACAGTTAGTTTCTACTCCTCTCAATCTATATATTCTAAAATTTCCCATTTTGTAAATAATAAGTTTTTTCTTCCCATTGTCCAGGTCAAAATACTTAGAGCCATCCATGGTCCTTTTCTGTCTCTCATCCACTTCATACAATCAAACAGGAAATGCATAGACTCTTCTTAGAGCACACCCAATATTTAGCTCCGCGTGAACAGCTTTGCTCCTATTACCCTGGGCCTGGCCACCATCATCTCTGCTGCAGATGGTGAGGATATCATTCCTTTTCCTTTCTGCCTTTCATACTTTCTTCCTTAAGTTCATTCCCCACCCAAAAGGAAAAATGATCTTTTTCAAAATAGTCACAAATTTTACGAGTCAGTAATTTTGCATGCCAGAATACAATCTAATTCAGTCTATTACAGCCTACAAGGTCCTTCACTAACTTGATCCTCCCCACACCCTTTCTTTTTTTACTTTTCTCTGACATCTCTTGCTTTGCATCCCTGTAACTTTGCTCCAGCCCCTCTCATCTACTTGCAGTATGTTCCCAGCCCAGGGTTTCATCTTGTCTAGCCTCCAGTAATGTTCACCTCTTCCATCCCGTTCTGTCTTCTTCCCTTGCTTCTTCAAGTCCCTTGTTCAAAAGCCCAAAGCATTTCATCAGAGAGGCTTTCAGTGCCATACCACAGTTATCCTCTATAACTTGTTTAATTTTATTTGTTGCATTATCACCACCACCTGTTATATATTATTTTTCATTCTTTTCTGGAATTTAAACTCCACATATATAAGCATTAGTTTTCAACTGCTGCATTCCCAGTGGCTAATATGCTGCCTAGAACAAATGAGCAACTTGATAAGTATTTGTTGAATGAATTAATTGAATAGATAAATCAGTGAATGCCATTAATAGAATTAAATCTTAGGTGAGAAAAACTTGTGTGCAATATAATAGCTAAAGAAGAGAGAAATACAATTAAAAATATCCAAGCTAAAAATATCTTTGCTATGCATGTTTTTCTAGGAAAAGTCTTCAAATTTATATTTGACCATTTTAAAAGTCTAGCTCTAAAGTGTTTGTAATAAGACACGATTAGGCATGATTCACTGATTGTCAATCCGCCAATCCAGAGCTAATCTGGGATCTGATTTGTCATACACTGCAAATGCATGTTTGTAAATGGAAGGTGATGCACATACTAGCAAAGACATAAAGCTGTAGAGTTTAATTGTATTTAAATTAATGCAAGAAGAATCTGAAGAACTCTTCTTTGGTACCAATTAGAAGAGAAAGGCTTCCAAAGAGTAAGTCATCTGTAGAGGAGAGACCTGGAATATATTTGACTATCACAAATTCTCCAGGTTATTTTGATTTTGTTAAAACATAAGAAAAAACTCCATAAATTCTGTGTAAAGCAAGAGCTTAGTTTTGTTTTTTCAGGGAATTGATAAGTTGTCTTTCTATTAATTGTAAAAGCATTTACCTTGAACAAATCGACTTTGCTGATGATGCTGAAGTTCATATCAGCGGCAAGGGCTAACTGCATTGTAGTTGGCAGGTTCTCAAGCAAATCAGATTCATCTTTGTAAAGATAAACACATCAGACCCCAAAGCAGAATTATTAATGCACTAACTCACCAAAGTGCAAGTTGAAAATTTAAATAACAAAACAAAATGCAAACTTTTTATAAATAGATGTATCAAATTCTATACTGGACTTTCATACCTATCTTAATAGGACTATTATGCTCAGAGTGGTATGAAGTATTTTGGCTATGGATGCCATACTGAATAACTCCAGATTATTGTGGTTGCTGAAATTTTAGGTATGAAATTTAATGATCAGGGGATGAAGGCTAGTGAACGAGCTGGTATAGGAAAAGGTTCTAGTTCTTGTTTTCTTTGTTGATTCGAGTTTTAACATCCTAGAATAACAAATAATAATGAGCAGCAGGTGGTTGGTGTCTGAGAGTTTATGAGCTCTTTCATACCCATCATCCTATTTGACCCAACACCAAGGGTGAATGTTCTCATTTCTACTTTGCAGAAAGAAGAAAAACAAAAGGAACTGAAATCCGGAGAGGCTGTAAGTGACTTGCTTATTATGCACAATTAGTAGGTGGTCCAGCTGGGAGTGAAATCTAAAGAATTAATGTGTTAAGTGAGTAAATTCAAATTATTGCTATTTATGTTCTTATTAACTCAATTAAGAATGTGAACACATTAGAGATTTCTCTATGTGTGAATTAAGCAATGGACCTTCAGGCTGACAAAGCTTTTGATGAAGAAAACTGCTTTTTCTTAGTATCTAGTATGTCCAGAGTTTAGGAGAGTTATTTTTGTTATATATAGAAAGAGAAAAATTGTGATATTATACCGCTATTTTGATTTCTATATAGATTCTAAATATGGACATCTTCACATAAAAACATAATTTTCTATTTCTGAGGGCTGTTTATCTCTAGCTACCCACTAAGCCAAGAAATTGAAATAGTGCCTACAGCTATTAACTGGGACAGGGACAGGGCATTACTCCTGTCCTTGCTTCCTCAGCACTGGGGATACCCTCAGGGTAGCTGCGGATTCTTAAGAGAAGTTGTTTTGGTCATTCAAAAAGAGATTCCCAACAGGAGGCTGGAGTCTCTTTAGAATGGAAGTGCTCTTAGGAACATCTGTGATTTGAGAATCTCACTTTTGCACTGGAGGCTGTAGCGTGTTTTTCTTTTTATCTCCCAGTGGCACTAATTCCTATTTTTATAGAACAAACTAAAAGTTGAATTTTAGATACCATCAATTATTAAGGGTCTCGTAGAAGCAACTGTGTGTCTAGAAACGACATGAACATGGGAGGTCCTGAAAGTTCGATGCTCTTTGAGCACTGTGCTCCCAGGAGCAGGATGATGTCACAGAAAGCACAAGGGTTTGGAGAACAGATGCAAGACTGAGTTCCAGTTAGGTCACATATGGCTCCGTGTCTCTGACCACTTTTTTTCTTTTTTCTTTTTTGGTGATATGAAGCAAAGTATGTGATACTTAGAATCTGCAGGTATGGAATACAATTTAGCATTTTCTCTTCCAAGGTTTGCCTTATCAAAATGATGGCTTCACATTCAAGAAAAAAAAATCATGGTGTTAAATTAATGCTGCAAAGATCATTTAATTGCTTTTCAATTGTTTGTCCAAATCCAATTCATCTCTGCTTCTACTTTACATAATTTTCATTTTTTATTCATTAAGTTTATTGGTGCCCTTTAGGTATACATTACGATCACATTCATCATTGGGAATTTGTACCTGTACATGATACTTCTTGGTTCTTTTTCCCATTCCCCTCCCCTTCCTTCTAACCTCTCCCTATTTAAAAAAGTTTTGTTTCCATTTTTTCCTTCTTTTCTCATTTTTTTCTTTCCCTTCTTTCCTGTCCCTCACCCCCCCCTAGTTCTCCTTCTCCTTTGATTCTTTTCTTCCTATTTCACAATATCAGTTATACATTTTGGTCCTCATATACAGTTTCAGTTTCTCATACCAGAGAAACAATTTAGTATTTACACATGAAGATGTGTTTTTAAAAAAAATAAGATGGAGTACTACTTGCCATAAAGAATGATAAACTAGAGACATTTATAGCTAAATGGATGAACCTTGAGATCTTACTCTTAAGTGAAACAAATAGGACACAAATGCATAATTTTCATTTTATAACAACGCTGATAGGAATTTAATCAGTAATCTGTCATGCTTACCTAGCATTCTTTGAGAGTACCATGTATATTCAAACCAAGTCCGAACTCGACTCTGCACACTTTGAGGGATGGAGTAAGTGTTCATATATGCTATGGTGTGATCCATACAGACACGGAAGTTGTTCTGATTGGCTGTAGCTGCCCCAATTACATCTCGAATCTAAAATCATAAATACTGTCACTTCATATCCAATAGAGAAAGTGCAGGAGTTACTAAAAGTTCAGTTGAATTGTGTTCTCACACATTCTTTTCTAATGCCTTGACCACTTGATTTTTAAACACATTAATATTGGGTCCTACTTTACTCCTTCCTGTAAAATATCAGGCAAATCACATCATCTCTGATAAGTAAGGACAACAATAAGCCTTATTATACCTGCCAGGTAAGATTGCTGTGAGGATTTGCCACATAACACAAGGGACTGTACATTATCTTCTTTGCATGCTTGTATATTACTGCAAAAGTGTTAGCTGATATTTAAAGAACCACACAGCTTGTGCATTTGAAAGGAATATGCAACAAAAATCGAGCAATTATCTGGCAAATGGCCACTCCATTTTAGCAAGTCTCACTTCGAAAGCATCCTTCACAGATTATCCAGCATGGCTGGCTATGTAGACTTGATTCATCATGAAATTGCAACCTCTGTTCTCCTTTGTGTTGTTTAGACAGATAGAAATCAAATCTCATCATGCTTAAGGTGTAGTATTCAGCAGAAGTAGAAATGTGCTGAAATTACTGAAGCATCATCTACTGCTGTGACAATACTTAAGGACCTGTCAGGTTTTAGTTGTTGGATGTTTATAACTCAGCCATAAAAACCCACTCTAGGTTAAAAGCTGATCTTTAAGGTCTCAGCAAAAAAAGATATATTGCTCGATTCTTCCTCTCACACAGAGGGAAGCAACTGGTTGTAAATTTGCTTTGACTGTGGGTTTATAATGGTGAGGAAAATCAGGGCCTTGCTTTCTTTCACACTGCGACTTTGCTCATTTATCCTCGTAGCTGCTGAGCTTTTTCTGCTAATGAGAAAACTACTCATTCTTTGGAGTTTAGTTCAAATAATGCCCTTTTTTTTTTGATGCCTTCCTTAGTTTCCATTTTTAGGGCTAACAGGTTCTTCTACATCTTGAAAGGATCTACTGAGGAGCTATGCAGTCAGTGCTCTATGTTCATCTTTCTGAGTCTATTACTCCTTGCTGGCTCTTCCAAATATTCTTCCACAACCTCAGTTCCCAGTTCTCCATTTACCATGCCACTCTTGGCAGCTCATCAACTTAGCCAGTCACTTAAAGCTGGGAGACACAGGATATTAAAGGTAGAGCTGGAGAAATTTAATAGACTGTTAGTTGTGAATGAAAGGAAATTCAAATCATTGTTGACTGCTGTTGAAGGCTACCTACTTAGTAATGACCGTAGTCTAAATTGTTTGTGTGCTATCTTCCAGCAATGGTGGGTTTCGTTGGTGGAGGAGCTGAGGAAGATTTATATTCTATGAGGTGTTCCAGTCTAGGGAAGCACATAAAGATATGAGTCAGAAAGTGTTAGGCTTTATGAGTTGCACTAGAGAATGTAATACTGCAGTTAAAAAGTGATGATTACTTCCAGGGAACAGCCACTGGTATGACTATATGTGGGGATTTTGAATAAATGGAAATTTTGTCCCAGGCTTTCTTCCTTTTGTTTCTATTTTCCTTCTCAACATCTTTTATTCACTATGAGAGTTTAAAGCATAAATCTTTCTGTAGCTTCAATTTTTCTTCTCCTGTGCTCTAGTACTATATATTTTTTTTCTTTTGGTACCGGGGATTGAACTCAGGACCTTGTGCTTGCGAGGCAGGTGGTAGAACCACTGAGCTAAATCCCCAGCCCTAATACCACATTTTTGACTTGATATTTCTTCTTGTTCCTGTGGGAACCTCAAATTCAATTTAAAGCTAGGTGTGGCATACAAAGTGGCATTTCTCAAATTTTCATGTGCATAAAAATCATGTGTAGATCTTGTTAAATGCAGGTTCATATTTAGTAGTTCTGAAGTAGGGCCCATGGGCTGAATTTCTCAAGAGCTGCTGCTACTACTGGGCCAAAGACTGCACTTTGAGTAGCAAGAGAACTAAACTGGCGCTAGATAGACATTGTTTTGTAATCTTGTGAAAATTGTTTTGATATTGCAAGTGGTCAATACATGTTAAACTTTACTGTTATTATCAATACTATATATGGTTCTATCATGTGACTATATAAATTGTATGTATGAATTAGGGATGCTTCTTAATTTATTTTCTTCATTTCTTTTTGTATACTGGAGATTGAATGTAGCGCCTTTGCACTGCACTGTACATCTAGCCTTTTTTATTTTTTATTTTTTGAGACATGGTCTCATTAAGTCTTTAAGTTGTCCAAACTTGTGGTCTTCCTGCCTCAGCCTCCCAGAGTGCTGGGATTACAAGCAGGTACTACCATACTCAGCAGTCTCTTAATCTGTTTTTATTATCTTTTTTTATTTTTTATTTTTATTTTTTGGTAGCGGGGATTGAACTTGGGACCTTGCGCTTGCGAGGCAGGCGGCAGAACCACTGAGCTAAATCCCCAGCCCCAACGGTCTCTTAATTTATTTAAGCTGAAGTTTCCTCATCTCTAAGACTGGGAAAACAATGAAAGTGATGTGACTAACTCACATTGATTTTATGACAAATTACAAAATAATATGACTTTTGCTGTTTACATTCAGGTTGATTTGAATTGAATTTCTCTCCAACCTGCTTCCTATTTCAACCATTGTCACAATTTCCCTGGCCATTAAGATTATATAATATTTTATATTTAATTTTTTAACTGCCTGATGTTCATGTTCTAATATCTACATATTTTCTAAGTGGAGTTTCCTTTACAACTTCTCTTCCAGGTCATTAACATGTCAGGATGGAGTTGTCATGTCCCTGGGCATCTGTATTAACCATATTTTTATTTTCTGTACTCTGAGGTATTGATATCTCGGGTCTTCCTTACCTAGGACCATACTGCCCATTCACAGGGTTAGCTAATTCCTGGAGACTTGTGGACAACTCTCGAGAGTATCCTTCATATGCAAACTAACTAATCCAGAGTCCATACTCCTGCCAGTCTTCTTACTGGGCCCTCTGACATTCAGGCCATTATCCACCTGTCCTATACCCCAGTGCCAGGTGCCAGACAAACAAAGACAGCCCTACTTCCCAGAGCCTACTGAAGCCATCAAGCTACTAATACTGCTTACCCTACCTCGCCCACTCCTCCCCTGGTGCTTCCTTGTTTTGTTCACCCTGCCCTTGTGGTGTGGTGTGCTTCCTCCTGTTGGGATCTGTGAGTATAACAAACTACCTTGTCGTGGTAATTGTCCCTGAATTGTTCATCTTACCATACCTAAATAATAATAAACCTACATTTTATGTCAGTATCACCCTTTCCAATGCATGGAATATTTTAATCAACCTTCTTTATTAAAAATCCTCCCTTTAAAATATCCTTATATATATCTCCTATTTACTGGTGTCCTTCACTCCAGTTATTCTGGAATGCTTTTCATTATCTCAAACATGTCTTGGGCTTTACCACTGACATCTTTTCGCACACAGTACCTAATCAATTGCATTACCTGTGATTACTGAGTACAGCCTGTTTTTTGAAGAGACTTCAAATGCATCTTTGTACCATGAATCCTGGGAAGCTTCCCTTTCTCAACTAATAGATTGCTTCCAAACTCCATGTACAACAGACTCTTGACATTTATAGATGTGTTGTTTGAGTTTTGACTATTTTTGAACAATGTCAAATACTATAACAAATTATGCTAAATTTCATTATAAAACAAGTTTCACTCATAGTACTGAGAGTGTGAAGAATGGGAACCAATTATTTTTCTAGGGGAAATAATCATTTTGTGACTTAGCCTAACTTTTCATCTAGTACACATATCTCAACATGGCTTTTTTTCTGTTTAGTATGTGGTGTGTAAAGCACTCTCCAAGGACTTATGCCTTCTAAAGATGCTGTGCTGTTGAACTTTTCATTTTTTTTTTGTACCGGGGATTGAACTCAGGACCTTGTGCTTGTGAGGCAGGCGGCAGCACCATTGAGCTAAATCCCCGGCCTTAGAGCTTTTCATTTTTTGTGAATCTGGAAATTCACAAAGAATTTGCGTTGTTTTCCTTGTAAATACCATCAACCTTGCATTATAGTTATTTGTGCAGTTGTGTTCTTTTCTTATTAGATTGTGATTACTTGAGAATAAGACAAGATGCTATAATAAATATTTGTGTAGCAATGATTTATTAATTGTTTAAGATGGCATTTTATAGTCTCTGGTTTAAATGACCTTGAAGTTGACTTTAACCCAGTGGTTTTGCAAGTTTAATTAAATAAGAGAGTCATAAAGGGTTTTTTAGAAACCTTCTAGTAGGAAGCTAACTTAGAATAACTTTCTCTGAGAATATAAACTAATGAACTTTGCTAATAGGTCTTCTGATTGACTTAATGGTTTATAAATGGAAAGGCAATGATTTCCGTCACATCCTCCTCCCCATAATTAAAATAGATCAAAGGTAGTAAAATGAGAAGAATGAGGAGAAAGAAAGAAGGAAGAGGGGGAGAAGGAGGAGGAGGAAAATAATTACATAGATTTTAAATGTTCTCTATAAAGTTCATAAACACTTGCCAACCTTTCAAAAATTAAGACACTGTATCTAGAGATTCAGATTCAACTTACCTGACCAATTAGGCTGGAAAATACAAAAACTCCAGAGAAGAAATTCAAGAGTTGAAAAACAATTTCAAACAAAGTTTGTGGCTCTGGAAGGCCCCCAATGGTAATTAAACTTCGAACTGCCCAATAATAACATCTCAGGTATCTGTGAAAAGAGACAATACATATTTCCTTTTTTATATCACTGAAATGCAATTTTGTTTGGAAGCACAGATTATTATTAAATTATAGCAAATTTCTCCTCATCAAGATTTTGTTTCCATAGGCAGCACTGGGAAACACTGTATGTGCTAGTGTAAACTTTTAAAAACTGTGAAATGACTAAGCAATTATACCCAAAAAGGGTGTTTGCTAACTGTTCTCAAAATTTAGTGATATAAAACAAGCACTGTTTTATTAGGTTGATAGTTTTTCAGGTCAATAATTTGTGCAAGGCCTGGGAGAATGACTCATCCCATTGCATGAAGAATGGGCCCTCAGCTGGGGTGACTTGAATGCCTGGAGATACCTGGGAAGAGCTGATCGAGGTCAGTCATCTGTGGCCTTGATTCTTGCCGTTAGTTGGGTCTGTCCTTCTCTACACTATATTTGCTTGGAATACCTAAGGGAGCTTCTTCCTGCACATTTCTGTGGACATAGATAGAACAACCAGGGCTGGCTACCTCTGTTTCCATTTAGTCTCTTCACCTGACTATTTTGAGCTTCCTCAAGGTCTCAGGGTAGATGAATTTACATGGCAGCTGGTTCACCCAGAGCAGCCCAAGAAGTAGCTTCAAGGTTTCCTAGGACCCAGAGGTTCTATAACATCTTAATTTCCTGTCACATTATATTTGTTAAGCCAAACATTAAGACCACCTCAGATTCAAGGAAAGAGAAATTTGACTCCATCTCTCAGTGAGAGTCAAAGAATTTGAGGTCATCTTTAAACTACCACACCAATGACTCATGAGGAATATTATGAAGATTAAGTATATTTATACAGGGGAATCTTTTATAGCTTAGGTCCAGTTTCTATTAACAGAAAATAGAACAAATAAATATCTATCTTTTCCATCCAGACCTTATTATATTATTGAATTTACAAACAGTGTCAGAAACAGAGGAGAGAACTGAGATCTATTGTAATAGAGAGAAATTACCTTCAAATATAATAAGTAATTTATTTAGAAATTTAGTATTGAATAAAGCAAAATATGCTTAGAAATATGCTTGATAAAGATTTTGTTCTTACTTGAACAATTGCAAAATGGAGAGGCTGAGATCATGGCCTTCCAGATAGGAAGAAGATCAGAAAAGAATGACAAGGATTAGCACGGAATGTACAATATTCATTTAGCTACACGTGATTATGAGATTCATGGAGTTCACAGGTAGGAATGGAATTTGGTATTACAACCCCACTTTATAATTACAATTATAAATATAATTTTTGTGCATGAGTAAGTATCTATTTAGAATACTCTACATAGTTCTGAATAAATAGCCTGGGCCAGATATTTTCCCTGAATCTTTCAATTTCCAGATATTTATAGACTTAATCCATAGGATATTCTGTATTTATGGATTTAGTGGGTCTCAGCAACTGTTCTAGTGTCTTGGGTAGACACAGAAAAGCAGCACATTTTACAGAATTTTGTCCTAATTATTCTCATATTTCTTTCTTTTTTCTCTTCCTGTTATTTATTTTTAAAATATTTTATTAGTATACATTTATGACATACCATAATTAAATTCATTTTGGGGAATCGGTACATTTACATTTCAATCATGTTTATTCCTCCCTTCCTTTCCTCAGATTCCCTTTAATTTCCAAAATGTCTGTCTCCCTATTCCCTCCATCTCTCCTTTATTCTGCTCTTTAAATTATTTAAATTTTGGGTCTCTCATATAAGGGAAAGCATGTGATATTTAACATTCGGTGTAGGATTGTGTTTCATATCTCAGTGGATCATCTGTAACATTAGCACTATAGATAATTTTGTATTAATCTTTGAATAAGGTATTGTTTTTCTTGTGAAAATAGAGTAGTTTATAATTTTCAGATCTTAAAAGACTAAGAAATTGGGGTTTACAAAGAATGAAATGAATTGAAGTTAAAGTCAATATTCAAATAAAAACAAATCTAGAAAGAAATCACTCATATTCAAATTCAATATCTTTTGAAGGACATGTGACTTTTTAAAATGTGGTGGTTATGGGAACAGAAAAAATAATTAACTCTTTGGTAAGGCTTGAAACCAGTGTGTCAAGAGAATGAAAATATCACTGTGTAATTTTTTTCTTGCAGTCTTCCTTGGACTTACTAATATTGTAGTGAACTTGATGTCAAAGAGAACCACCTTGAAGAAGTGTAGAAGTATTTTATAAATTGCATTTTAGCTTTAAAAAAATTCCAATTTATAATTTCCTGTTACCTAATTTATTTTGGTCACAGGTCCCAGACTTGTGGTTATCTTTAAAATTAGGAAATTTATTAAACTCAGTACTGCCCAAGAGTGAGGAGAGACTAGATTCTCTCCCCAAATGGCCAATTCATTGTTGAGTGTTGGAATTTTTGTCCTCTCCAAAGTCATTGGAGTGTTAACAGGCACAAACACATGAATCATCTTCTTTCCTTTTCCTCTTTATGGATATTATAAAGTAACAGTCAAATGTGAAACTATGGCATTGATTATCCAAATTTCAATGGCTAGCCTTGAACTTTTTCTTTTGTATTAAATGTCTGCTATGTTAATTGGAAGTTTTCTACCCTGATGCTTTGTGGTTTATTTTGGGATTCTTTTCTCAGTCATGTCTTACAACCAGACATGCACAACCAAAGGTAAGATTTGTAATTTAATTAAATGGCTTCATATTGATTTTCTAGGATTAGCTTAATTAGTCAAGTGTGTCCATCTCTAAAATGTCTACATTCCAGGCAGAACTTTTCAAGGAGATTCTATCTGGTTGATTTAATACATGAACTGTCTAACTATTAACTATATAATAGATGAAACACCACACACACACACATGCACACACACACACACACCCACACACCCACTCACACATTCAGCTCCAAATTAAATCAATAAGGCAGCATTTGACATAAAAGTGAAAAAATTTAATGTAAAAATAGGAATTCTTCTTCTATGAATATATAAGGAACTAAAAAAATCTCAGCAGCAAAATTAAGAAACAAATAATCTGTTAAAATGGGCAAATAATCTGAATAAATATTTCTGAAAAAAGATATACAAATGGCCAACAAGTATACGAAAAGATGCTCAGCATTTCTAAAAATCAGGGAAATGTAAAATTCAAACCACAATGGCATATCTCATCCCAATTAGAATGGCTATAAAAAAGACAAAATTTTAAATTTTTTTTGAGGAACTACCATACTGTTTTCCATACTGGCTATACTAATTTACAATCTCACCAACAGAGTTTCTTTGCATCCTTGCCAGTACTTTTTTTGTCCTTTTGACTACAGACATTCTAAGTGTGGTGAGATGATATCTCATTGTTTTTTTGATTTGTATGTCCCTGATGATTAGTAATAGAGTGCATTGTCATATATTATTAGCCATTTGTATGTCTCCTCTTGAGAAATGTCTTTTTAAAAATTAATTTTATTGGTACAGTTTAAATATACGTAACGATCATGTTCACCAAAGGGAATTTGTACCTGAACACGATATATCTTGATTCTTCTTTTTCCCCAGATCCCCTCCCTTCCCTTCAACATCCCTTTATAACTCCTCTCCTCCCCTTATGAGAAATGTCTTTTCATGTCCTTTGTCCATTAATTTATTTTTTGCTGCTAAGTTGTAAGAATTTCTTAGGTATTTTGGATGTTGACCTATTATTAGATATATGGTATGCAAATATTTTCTGATTTGGTAGATTGCCTTTTTATTTTTTTTTTATTCTTTCCTTTGCTGTACAGAAGCTTTAGAGTGTGATGTAAGCCTATTGTAGTCAGGGTTTGCAAGGGAATAAATTTTTTACAGAACATAAATTTATAGGTTTATCTTATAATATTCACCCAAAAAGTCAAATGCAGAAGAGTGCAAGAGATCTGTCCATGTGCAAGAGACCTGAAGAATTCACCTGAGGGCCTGGATCCCATGGCAGTGTCCCACACAAGTCCAGCCAGAGGCCTAGAGCCCAAGGCAATGTCTCATGCAAGTCCATAGGATCTACACCAGAAAGGCCCAGCCAGTGGTGGAAGCTAGAAAGTCTGCGCTGGCAGGGTGAAGGATCTGTGCTGGAAGGCTGAGAGATCTGCACTGGAGCCAGGAAGCAGTGCTCAAGGCAAAGACCTGAGTACCCTCAAGAGAACAGCAGCCACCCCCAGGACAGCGAGGACCTGAGCTCCTGTGCTGGGAACAGCCAAGTTCATATTAGGAAAACCAACCACAACAAAGCTTGCAATCAGCAGCATGCAATCTTCCCCTCTCATTCTCCTTTTATGTCATTTTGGCAACAATCCTTGGGTGGGTCTTCCATGCCCATAACCAGCTGACTCAGTTCAGTGGGGTGTTCCCACTCAAGTTGACCATTAATTAATCCACCATAGAGCTCATTTGTCCCTCTATTTGTTTTTGTTGCCCATTTTGGGGGTCATATCCAAAATATCATCATCCAGACCACGGTCAGGGGGCTTTCCCTGAATGTTTTCTTCTAGAAATCTTCTTGTTTTAGGTTGCACATTTAAGTCATTATTTGAGCTGATTTTTTTGTATAGTGTAAGCCAAGGATCTATTTTTGTTCTTTTGCCTGTGGACATATAATTTTTGCAGCATCCTTTATTGAAGAGACTGTCTTTCCCCATTGTGTATTCTTGGCACCCTTGTCAAAGATATGTTGGTTTGTTTCTGGGCTCTTTGTTTTGTTCCATTGGTCCATGTCTGTTTTATGCCAGTATCATACTATTTTGATTATTGTAGCTTTATCATATACTTTGAAATAAGGACATATGATGATTTTAGTTTTGTTGTTTTTGCTCAAAATTGCATTAGCCATTTGGGGCCTTTTTGGTTCCCTATGAATTTTTGGATTGTTTTCTTTATTTCTAGAAAAAAGCCATTAAAGTTTTGATATGGTTTCATTGAAACTATAGATCCCTTTGGATAGTTTGGACATTTTAAAAATATTAATTCTTCCAATGCATGGACTCATATATCTTTTGATTTATTTGTATCTGCTTTAGTCTCTTTCATTTGTGTTTTATAGTTTTCCATGTACTAGTCTTGAACCTCTTAATATTTTATTTACTTTGATACTATTGTAATGAAATTATTTTCTCAATTTCCTTTTTGGATAGTTCAATGTTAATGTATAGAAATGCTACTGATACATCATTAGATTGTATCCTTAGGTGAATTTTTGATGAATACATTTACCTATGTAATTCAAACACTTATCAAGACAAAGAATATTGCCATCACTGAAGAAAATTTTCTTGGTCCTTCTCCTATTTAGTCCTTGTTCCCAGGGCCCCAGGGACAATGACTGTTATTTTTTTCTACCATAGATCAGTTTTGCTCATTTTGAAATTTCAAGTAAATGAAATCATACAGTATGTAGGCTTTTGTGTAAAGTAGATTTCACTCAGTGTAGTGATTTTGAGAATTATTCATGCTGTGTGCATCAGTAATTTATTCCTTTATATTACTGAATAGTACCTGTTATACATATATAGGACAGTTTGTTTATACATATGAATGAACAACTTAGGCTGCCAAGTTTTTAATTATTATAAGTAGAACTTCTATGCATATTTTTGTGCAAGTTTTTTCTCTGGATGCAGTTTTAATTTCTCTTGGGTAAATAGCTAGGCTTGGAATTTTGAGTTGTAAAGTAAGTGTATGTTTATTTGTGAAAAGAACTGATGTCTTCTTGAAATGGTTATACCATTCTGCATTCTTGTCAACAATGTATGAGAGATACAATAACTGCAACTTATCCTAGCAATTGGTATTGTTAGTCTTAATTCAACACTTGGTGTTGTCAATATTCTTTAGTTTTAGCTATGGTGGTGAATATGTATTTAATATAGTGCGTATCTTAATTTTTAATAAAATTATTTACATCAAAGTAAACACATATATAAATTAATTCACATTCCAAAAGGAATTACTTAGTAATAAATTTTAGTTGTAAGGCTTTGTTATAAACTTTCCTGGAATGGATTCCCTGTTCATGTTTGTATAAGTGTGTATGTGTGTGTATGTGTGTGTTTGCAATCTGGGCTTCTTCTGATTTTAAGTTTCATCAAATCAGTTCTGGCTAAAAGTTCAAGAAATGTTGTCAAGTTCCTTATGCATATCCAACTCACTCTTGGTAGTGTATAATTTTGTAAGATATTTTCACCTTCTTTGCTGTCTCTAATAATTACTCTCCACCCTAAAGTTGCACTGTGTTGCTTTTCAAAGCAATGCTAGGACTTACTGTTTTCCAGCAAGGACATTGATTTATGATATGCTCCATATCATTTCATTAGAGGAGAAAGTTAATGGAGTTTACAGGTCCTTGTATCTACCAAAAAGAAATTTCCCTACTCAAAAAAACCCTAGTTGCCGTTATTAAGTTGTGATTCTAATGCACTGATTTTTTCAAATAGTCTCTTTTCTTCCTGGGATACTTGCACACCTAATTGTCAGGTTTAATTTATGATCCTTGTTATTCTCTAAGTGTTTAATTGAGTTAGTGGTTATAGCTGACTCATAAACCCATAAAAACCCTTCAGTGGTAAACTAATTAGCCACTGCACCTGCCCTGTAAATAATTAACATTGTTTATTAGGACCAATCAGCATTTCAGTTATTAAAAGTTACCCTATTAGTGAGTTGTCTAAAGTAGAGGCTTCCAAACTTTTCTGAACATGATCTAGAATAAGAAATAAATTTCACAGGCTAACCCAGGATCACACACACACACACACACACACACACACACACACACACACCCCTCTACTATCAATCAGAAGACTGATATTTTCTATTCTATTCTCCTACATTCTTTTTTACTTCAAACCATAGTGACTTCTTGAGAGGTTTTACTGCCTATGAATGGGGTTGTAACAGTTTAAAAGAGCTGACTTAATAGTCATACACTGAAACAGAAAATTAAAAGAATCAGTGAGTTTCTTTCAAAATTGTAACTTACTTGTTTCCTTCACCATTATATACCCATTTTGTTGTACCAATTCCTTCATAGTTGGAAGCCCAGTAATAAATGCAGGCATTAATGTGCAGAATAAACAGCAAGTATCCAGTTGTTCGAATGACTCTGTCAAAGAGAATAAATGCAATGTTGGGATTCATGTTGTTTCTGGAACACAGCTTACTTTAACATTTCCTTTAAGTCTCCACTGAGCCTTCTTGCTTTAGATTTGTGAACTGCTAACTTTCATCAGCACAGTAGAAAGTGATGGTGCCATCGCATGTTGTCTAGCTGCAGTCTCTTGACTGAGATTGACAGAGTGTAGAAAAAGTCCACTTCTCTTTTCACAGATGGTGTGAGTCAACTCTGTGAAAAGCATGCCTCAAGGGCCACCTCTCTATTTTTAGTCCCGTAAAATACGCCACACTGATTTAACTGGATATCCCTGAAAAGCCCATGGGACGTTATGCTACAATGAGCTGTGACTAGAGGTCTGTGTGCAAGTGAACTTCAGAGCAGCGAATGAGTGAAATGTAGGTTAAGAATGAATTGCCATGGGAGAGCTCTAAAGTCAACTTGCAAAAGAGCACGTTCATCGTACTTGTTTTGGCTGAAGTAGATAATAGTCCTATTTTTAAGTTCGGTGTCCTTCTGAAATCTGATATGATTTTCACACTTTCATCTCACTTGAAATATCTAGACCTGTTTTAGAACATATACTTATATTTTATATAGTCAAAATCTGAAATCATCTCCTTTTCTTGAACATCTTTTTCCCAAATGCTGTCTAAAATACTTGCCTTTGCTTTCTTCACTTCCCACAAGTGTGTATGTACATACGTTACCTGTAGATATATACTTTGTCCATTATAGACTCTAGATGATGATTAAACTCAAAAAATGAAGTGTACTATGTAAAAAAACAAGCAAAGAGAATACAAAAATACATTAGTCTTAGGTATATCTATTTAGATAAACAATATAAAATAGATTATATTTATTACTGGAAATAATTTTATTTATCCATCTTTAAAAAAATCAAGGTCCTATTTAGTGGTATTTTCTGCTAGGTAGTACATGGTAGCATAGTGCCGAACTTTTCCAGAGTTTCTTGCTTTATTTTACTTCTACCCTCTAGTTATAGTCTTATTTGTAATGCTTTTTGAAAATTAATAATGCTTTACTTTTTTTTCTTTTTTTACTTTTATGTCTGACTTGCTTTTTCTTTTTTTAAATTCTTTTATTGGTACATTGTAGGTATACAACACAATTACATTTCTCATTGGGAATTGTACCTTTACATAATGCATCTTGGTTCTTAGTTTTTCCCCATTCCTAGCCCTCCCTTCATGCCCTCCACCCTTCCCTATTTACAAAGACTTTATTTCCATTTTTTCCATTTCTCAGCATTTTTCCTTTCCCTCCTTTCCTTTCCCCTGTCCCTCCCACTACCCCTACCCCTTTGGACCTTTTCTTCCTATTTTGCATTTTCGATTATTCATTCTAATCATTGGTACATTTTAGGTATACAATATAATGACATTCATCATTGGAAATTTGCACCTTTACATAGTCTCTCTTGGTTCTTCTTTTTCACCCTTGCCCAGCCCTCTCTTCAACCCCTCCATTCCTCCCTATTTACAAAGATTTTATTCCTGTTTTTCCATTTTCTCATATTAATCCCATTCCCTTCTATCCTTTCCCCTAGCCCTCCCACTACCTTCCCCTTTGCCCCTTGTCTTCCTATTTCACATTACCTATTATACATTTTAGTCCTTATTTACACTTTCAGTTTCTCACACCAGAGAAACTATTCGGTATTTATACATGTGTGTCCTATTTATTTCACTTAAGAGTATCGCCTCAATGTGCATCCATTTAGCTATAGAGGTCTCTAATTTCTCATTTTTTATGGCTGAGTAGTACTCCATTTTATTAAAAAACCACATTTTCTTTATCCAGTCTCCAGTTGATGGGCATTTGGGCTGTTTCCAAGTTTTAGCTATCACAAACTGTGCTGCTATGTACATGGGCACACATATATCACTGTGGTATGATTCTTTGAATTCTTTGGGGAAGAACCCCAGCAGTGGAATAGCTGGGTCAAATGGGACTTCCAGTCCTAGTTCTTTGAGGTATCTCCATACTGATTTCCACAGTGCTTGCACCAGCCTACACTCCCACCAGCAGTGGAGCACGGTTCCTCTTTCCCCACAGCCCCACTAGCATTTGTTATTGGTTGATTTCATGATAGCAGCCATTCTTTCTGGAGTGAGGTGAAATCTCAACATTGCTTTCATTGGCATCTCTCGAATGACCAGTGATGTTGAACATTTTTTCATGTATTTATTTGCTATTTCTACTTCTTTGTCTGAGAAATGTCTGTTCATTTCAGATGCCCATTTTTGGATTGGGTCTTTAAATTTGGGCGGTCTGATCTTTTAAAGTTCTTTATAGATTCTAGATAGTAGACCTTTGTCTGAGGAAGAGCAGGTGAAGATTTTTTCCCACATTGTGGGTTGTCTCTTCACACTGCTGGTGGTTTCTCTTGCTGTGCAGAAGCCTTTTAATAAGAAGAGATCCCACTTGTTGATTGTTTGTGCTAGTTCACCGGCAACTGAGGTTTTGTTCATAAAATCTTTTCCTGCACCGATGTCTTCAAGGGTTCTACTTAACCTCTGTTCCAACTGGTTCAGAGTTTCTATTTTAATATTTAGATCTTTAATCCATTTTGATTTTAGTTTAGTGTATGGTGAGAGATATAGGTCTAGTTTTAATCTTTGGCAAGTTGAAGCCCAATTTTTCCAGCACCATTTATTAAAGAGGCTATCTTTCCTCCAGTGAGGGTGTTTGGCTCCTTTATCGACATGCTTTTCTTTTTAAAGCATGTAGTAGAACTCTATTTCTCAATAATTAAAACACACTCTCCCAAAAATAAGTAAAACTAAGAAAAGTCTAATGTAATACATTGGAGTCATAAATAGGTACATTTTGTTGTTCAACACTGGCATTATTTTTAAGCAAGATGCATTAAGTGTGTATTCATTTCAACAAAATTTTAAGTTCAGCATTAGCATTAGCTAGTTGTTCTTGGTGCTATCCAAAAGCTTTATGTGATTTTGTTCAGAGTTGCTATTTTCCTGAGTGTTCTTTCCTGCTTACCTCTACATTTATTTTAACTCTTTCTCCCTGAATGCTGTCCTACCCTCCAAACTTGCCTTCCTCTTTTACAATTGTAGGAAGTGTAACACAGGAGTAAGAGCATGGATTTCCAAGCCCAATTCCAGTCCTAACTCTGCCACTTACTAACTGTGTGACATTGGAAAAGTCTCTTACTATTTCTGTATCTTGGTTTTTTCTATATTAAAGTGGGCACAATAAAAGAACATGCTTCCTAAAGGATCTTGTCCTTAGGCTCCTATTGATAGAAGGAACCTTACAGATGATCTAGTTCAAAATTTCTCCAATGTAGATATGACTGCAATAGAACATTTGGAATTAAAAATAGTATGAGTAATAGCAATAACTTGTTAACTAGAAATATGCCCAAATGACTTGTTTTTCAAGAATTTCTGAGTGGGAAATATCCCTCAAACACTCTCATTATGATAATTTCAATTTTTGGTAACATGGTTATTGTGCTCCTAATAGAAGTTTAGCAACAGAAGTTTGCTTAAAAATTTAGCTTGTTTATAATAGAGGAAATTTATATTCTTAATTTGTTTTCCCATTTATAACTTAGAGACAGAGGTGATAAACATTTATCCTAGAGAATTGTCCATGCAAATGACACCCTTATAAATAGGTGAACTGACAGGACTACAAGGCTAGGAAAAGATCAATGTTGACTTTTACTATCTACATTTTAAAATAACTGCCGGACATAGAAAGCTTTTGAACATCTTAGGGATACAGAGATGAGTATGTAGAGCTGGCATCTTCTAAACTTATTATAATGCCAGACAAACTCCCACATCCGTAGGAATCTGAGTCTTTCTGAAAATTGATTATCTTTGAGCAAGTGCCTTCTGAAACTTCTACATGAGACTAGAAATTTGATGAGGAATGGCCTGATATTAGGCTGCTTGGAATGTTGTGTTTTGCCTCAGTTTATATTAATATTCCACAGTCAAATCCAAAGGCTTTAGAGTTGTGTTAAGTGTACGTAAATGTTAAGACCCCTGAATGTTAGAAAGTCGTGAACATGGAAGGAAAACTCTTTTTGCCTAATGTTACTCTTCCAGACTGCTTATTGTAAAGAATGTAGAATCAGATAATCATGTAAAGAGCTCAGATACTGCCTCTCATCAGCTGTGTTTCTGGACAGATTGTTTTCATCATGCTAATTCTCATTTTCCTCATCTCTAAAATAAAGTTGTTGGGGGAAATACATGAGATAATGGATATAAAGTTTTAGCAAAGTATGCAGCCTCAAGGTGTGCCGTCAAAAATTTTCAGTTGTCGCCACTATTGTTGTTGTCAGCATCCACCAGTATTATCAGATTATGCTATTGTGTCTTCCCAAGAGGCAAAAGAGATAATGAACTCCTCAAATTTATAAAATCATTTATAATCCATTTAGAAGGTTGTCTTTGGAAATACAAATATCATTTTATTCTTAAGGATTTATATGAAATTCCTGGACCTGCCTCAGATTCTTTTTAGGTACCCAACAAAGCCATGAGCTCTAAAATATTTATGTCTTAGAATCTTTTTTCTTTTTTTTTTTTTGCTACCAGGGATCGAACCTAGGACCTTGTGCTTGAGAGGCAGGCAGCAGCACCACTGAGCTAAATCACCCATCTTCTTGGAATCTTTTTGAGTAGGTGACATACTTACATAGTTTAAAATTAAATGAAATATATATCTTTAAAAGTCTTGGGCTAGGGATTTAGCTCAGTGGTTCAGCTGCCTGCCTTGCAAGTGCAAGATCCTGAGTTTAATCCCCAGTACCAAAAAAAAAAAAAAGCCTTCAAACCATTCTGATTTTTCCTTTCTGCTTTCCTTCCCATGTTAGTTAATCATTTTTTATTAGTTTTTTTGGGTAATCTTTTATAAATACAGAAAAATTGAGTATTTTCCCTTCATGTTATATAAAAGTTAGCATTGTTCTGTAAAATGTTCCATATCATGCTTTTGTTTTTCTTCTTACTTAGCAGTTTATCTTGGAAGTCTTTCTATATTAATGTGTGTAAAATTTCTTTTTTATTTTTTGAAAACTACAGCATATTCCATTATGTGGAATGTAGGTGTAACTATTTTCCTCTTGATGAAGATTTTATTATATCCAAGTATATATATAATTTTGTGATAGAAAAATATGTTAGGATTTCTTTCTAGAATTATAGAATTTTATATAAGAAAACTTGGAGGTAACCTAATTTAACTCCTTCATTTTGGAGCCCATATTTCAGGCACTGAGTAACTGATAAAAATGGACAAATGGAAAAAATTATGAAAGATTCATTTGTAATTACAGTGGTATTTCTATTTTGGAATATAAAAATTCATGTTGTGAAATAGAATAATAAAAGCAAACCGCATCAATTTCCATCAGGAGAAGCAATGACATTTTTTCTTTCATTCATTTAAAAAATTTATAGCGCTGATGAAGGCAGAAAAAGGGAGAACAGTTTGGAAAAGATTAGGAATATTGGTAATTTTAGGATATTTTAAATTGCTTCAAGATTTCCATTATTATAAGGTATTTACATATAGTTACCTTACCTTCAATATCCTATTTGTTCTAAATATTGGATTGTATCCAAGGAAGAGGTAGAAAACATCAAATGGTATGATTGATGCCATATCCAACTGTTAGGAAAACACATTAACAATCATGTTATGGTTACATCCTTCTGGAGGATATTGATGGATTTATACCAAATGAATGTAGAAGTTGGTCAGTCATAATGAATTATTTGTTGTTAAATATGCATGGTGCCATTGAAGGTGTGTTAGCACCGTGAAAATAAGAATATTATTTTAAAGCCTGCTGGCAATGTATTTCATTTCCACCTTCATACATCTGATCTCTCCTTAGGCACTACATTTACTGAGGTTTTTGTGGAGCTATCACACACACTTCAGTGATTACATGTTTGTTAATGTTAAAATAAATATTAATAGTATTTTAAACATGAGACTCTGGAACTAAACATCAAGTCCATTTTTGATTATGTTTAAAACCAATGCATGTTCATTGAAGTGATATATTTTTATATTCCAGCCAATTCTCCAATGTTCAGAGTAGAGTAAATTGGTGTGGCTCATCTACCTTATTCTGTTTTCTACAAATGTCTAATGTGGACCATGTTGCTACCAATTAACTGTTGTGTAAGTATCAGAGAATGTGGGCTAAGAGAGAGGAAGAGAAAGAAATCCCTTCTGTTTACTATTAATCAGCCACTCTGATGGTGAAAGGTATTGAAAGTACTGTGTAACTACAACTAAACACATAGATTTTAAAAATTTGTCATGAATTTAAATCATTCTAGCCTTCTCACACCCTGATAATTCTGAAATAACATCACATCTGCATATTTTCCTGATCACAATAACAGAAAGAAATTCTTTTATATAACATAATTATTTATTTTCACTAAATTTTATATGGTCTTGAACAATAGGGTACATTAAATAAATTTAAGCTATATTAAGACAATAAAGAGCAGTTAGGAGCATATTTTAAGGCCATACATATGAATGACAGTTGAGGTAATTGTGTAACAATTTCAAAGCCAACTGCTATTGAATAAAAATGGAACTTGTAGTTTGAGTTAACCAGATTAGCTATTATGAAATAACTAAAAGTATTGGTTTAGAAATTGCATCGTATCATAGAACCTCATTATTTTATCCTACAGCTATCTCTACAGATACAAATATTTATTTCTCTTTTGATTTTTATCTTTTATTAGTACATATTTGCCATACATAATGATTACATTCTGCATGAGGAGTTGGTACATGCATGTATCACATCTCAATGCTTTTTTCATTCCCCTTTTCCTCTCTCCATCTCTTCCTCCCCTTCCCTTTTGTGAAAAGATATCTTCTTGGGGCCGGGGATTTAGCTCAGTGGTTTTGCCGCCTGCTGCTCAAGCGCAAGGACCCGAGTTCGATCCCTGGTACCAAAAAAAAAAAAAAAAAAAAAGATATCTTCTTATTTCTTATTTCCTATTATCTATCTTTTATTTTGGTCTTATATTTTGGATTTCTAATATAACAGAAACCATGAGATATTTGTAACAAGTTGAGAGTTATTCAAGAACATTTACTAAAATAATGTCTTATAAATAAGGAAGCAGAAACATGGGGCTATTGACCTGACTAGTGCTACCCCAGAACTCATAGGTTCTGGTTTAAATCATAATGATCTTTTTTTACTTACTTTCTATCCAGTTGCTCAACTTCCCACTTGACTTCTTTATGCAGATTGTCAATAGCCATTTTTAATGTTAATTCATTGGCATGTATTTGTGTAGACAGAGAAAGATTCATTTTTTATTGAATTGTAGAAAAGTGAATTGATTGGTACTTAACATAAAACTCCATACAAGGCACTGTGTAAAGCATGTTGAAGTTGAAACAGGAGTAAGATATTATTTTTGTTTACAAGAAGTTAATCTCATAGTAGAGTAACCAAGTACAAAAAATAACTATCATGAAATGCTGTAACACAGCAGGATGTACTAAGGTTATTCAAAAGGAGTGACCACAAGTACAGGTTAAATTTTACAGTAATAAACACAAATTAAACATATAAATTAATTTTGCCCTTATTCAATTCAAATAAATAATGTATTAAGAGTCTGGAAAGTGCTTTGTAGCTTTTACAAAGAATATTTATTCTCTTTGCAACATTCATAAAGTAGTGTAGATCTTTTATGAATGCATCTAATATATGATTATGCTTTACAAAGAAAATTAGTTGGATATAAAGATCAGTTGAATGGAATTTTAATCACTGAAGATTGCTAATATGGAACATTTGGAACCTAAGACCAGATTTGTGTTTTTTAATAATAAAATTTGAGGTGCCTAACTTGTCCTTAAGGTGGGGGGCTAGAATTTACACGTACATATTGAATAACTTTGAAAAACCCCCTGTCTGCCTATTCCTCAGTGGTAAGAGGAAAAATAAAAGGTAAGAAAATATTTTGTAAGTTATCAGAATAATAAAACATAAAATTATATTGTTATGTGAGGAAAGGAAGATACTGTGTTATTTAAATAACTGCTTCCTTCTATTTTTTGTTTTGCTTACATGAACAAAAAAATTGAAATTAGAAACAACTTTGCAGACTTTTATACTATCATCCTACAAGAATGACAGACTAGAATTCTGTAGACAAGACAAAGTACACCCCCTATTTCTTTATTATTGACATTTAAATCAGAATTTAAATCAGAATTTAAATGTGGGCACTAACTCAATCTGCTTAATGACCCATATATTGAATTACCCTTTGTAAAAACTTCATGTCTCCCATTATTCAATAAAACCTCATGTTTATGAACTTTTGTTACAAAAGAAGATGATATATTTATAGAAATGAGACAAAATGGTAATAGATTACTTGAAAAGTTTTGAAATTATTTGGAAGTCACCCACTTGAAATTTTGTAGAATTCCTGTAGTGTCTCTTCAGCTCAGTTGAATCCACCTGAAATATATTTATACTTTAGTTAACTTTAGCTAATTTCATTATTTTTTCACTTCTTATTCTTATATTTATAGCTAGCTATTTCTTTCTGCTGGACCCTTTCAATTCCAGCCTATAAATATGTTCTGGACATTTTGAAACAAAATATCTCCCTTGACCCATTGTTTGTTAGTTGAGATTCTCAAGACAGTCACCTACATTGCTTCACTCCCAATCCTTCCTCAAATTTATCCTTAAACCTTGGCAAGTTTTGACACTTTGGCTTCTTTCCATTTCTTTCATCTCATCAAGACTAACAGTGCCAAGCCCCACAATAATCTGCTAATTATCACATTCAGGGAGCCCTTTCTGGTACTCAGCATCCTGTATGGCCCTTACTAAACTTTGAACGAATACATATATGTCCTTCAAAATCAGTTTGTTTAAAATCAGTCTATGTGATTAAAGGGTAATCTATCTGAAGACAGGGTTGACTTCATTTATAACCTGTACATACTTGGTGCCTGGCATATACTGAAGAGTCCAATACATATTGATTGAGGGGGTGAAGGAATAAGGAGGAAGAGATGAGTGAAAGTTTCTGAAGCGTTTGACATTTTTGGGAATAACTTTGTCCTTCAAAATATCAGAAATACCACTCTTCATTCACTTTACTTCTTAAACTCCAGCTTTTGGGCATCCTTCTAGGACTCTTGGGCTAGCCATGTAAAAGCTGACATGCTCCATGATTTTGTTTTCTTCTCTTTCCTCTTTATACTGACTTTCTGAGAAATCATACCCACTTTTGTCATTGCAAAGACCATTGTATATGTCAAGCCTACTGAATGTCTACCTCTACCTATAACACCTTCCTGCTGTTGGTGCCCAACCTGGATTAATCATCATTCTGTTTCCTTTAAGCCTAATGTGACCCTACTCCTGCTATTGTGAATCCTATAAGTATCCTCATCAACACTGGTTAGTGATCCTAGATGACTCTCTGTTTCTCAGCCCTCTTCACAAGCAACCAAGCTTTACAGATTCTTCTTCCTAAAATTTTGTGTTCATTTTCTCCTGTTGGCAATGCTCTAACTGCCTTAACTCTTGGTCTGCTCTATCTGTTTTATGATGACAAGAAGATGTTCTCTCTAAATCAGAGTATTTAACAATCTTTAGTTATGTTAAATCCTAGGACTCTACATGATTTTAAGAAAAAAATAGTAGGTAAGGCTTTGCTTTCTGAGTCTCAGGTGCCTCCTGCAGCCTTCCACACCCTCTCTATTGAGCAGTTCCTCAACTGCATCAGAGGGTCTCACTTCAACACTTTGCCCATGCTGTTCCCAGAGGTCAGAGGATGTTTCTTTCTTTCTTTTTTTTTTTGCAGAGGGAAGAGGATGCAGATAATTCGATCCTGTCTGTCAAGACTTGGACTGAGTGTCTTTTCATTCACATGGTTACTCTGAGCCTCATAGCACCCCAGGCTTACCTTTGTCATGATTTGCAACATAGAATTCCACCATTTGCCTTTTGTTTGTCTTCCCTTCATATCTGAGCTATGTAAGACACCTATCTTTGACCTCTGTTTCCTCAGTTCTTAATAATGTCTAGCATAGAGTCAGTATCCAACAAATGGATTATATGTGATGGATGAATGGAGATAGATTAATAATAATATTAATATTCAGACTTTAAAGAGTTAATGTTAATTTTAGATTGAAATTCATATGTTTTAGTTATATGTAAGAAGAAATGTTTTGTGTATTTTTAGCTAGTTGATAAAAGTGCTAGAAAGTGGACACATAGAAACAGCATTGTCTAACGTTGTCTAACATGCTGTTCAAGTTCAGAAGTTTTAAGCTACTGCTGAATAATGTGAAAGATTGGTTACTCAATTCCTAAATTTCTACTTTCTCTCCTCCTTTTTTTGTCAATAATTTTTACCCACCTTTGCACACTAAATTTTATATAAATACATTAAAAAACACATTAAATAAGATGTTCTTATTTAATGATTTGCACTGTGGAATGAAATGGTTTACTAAGTCATAGTGTCATGGGAAATATGAAATATGAAATATATCTCCTAACCTGTTAACTGTATGACATGACGAGTTCTTGTTCTCTAGAAATCAAAGAATGAGTTCTAGGAACGACAGAGCTTAAAAGTAGGAAGATATTTATTGATAGGAAAGTTCCTGAGGGGCAGGAGGGGGCCTGACTGGGTAGCCCAAGGACCCCACTTTACAGAGAAGTTTTATAGGGTAAAACCCACATAGGTACAATGTGCGCCACAGCCATGAACATCCAATAAGGTTGTAAGTATAGTCACTTAGGCAGTGGTGTCCAATTGGGAAGCAAGTCACGTAGCAAGAGTGGATGGAAAGAACAAGGATTTTCCTAGGAGGTTGTGGGTCCAGAGATCTCTGGTCACCCCCAGAGTGGTCGACGCCTATCTATACTTTACTAAGCCCAGTTTTTTGAAGAAGTGTGTGGGTCTGGTCATCTTATCTTCATCTTGAGGCCTGGTTTTCAGCCGAAGTGTAGCTGTGGTATGTTTCACCTTTGTCCTGGCCCTCTCGAGGACTTAGCCCTATCTGACAGACTCTAATATTTTTACCTAGCTCATCTATTATAATAATAGGTACACACAAGTAGGTTTCAATTTATAGTCTTGTAAGTCATGTTCTGATCTTGAGTAAAATTGATCAGCTCTCTTAAAACTTATGTGAGGATAGAGAGATGCAGTTTGAGGAGCAAGTTAAAATACTGCATCCTCCCTTCATCCAGGAAGAATGTTTTAAGTACATTTATCCCTTTGTTTTCAGAGTTGTCCTATGATTGAATAAATGTAAATCCAACTAAAAACTTGTTAGATTAAGAGAAAGTGCCATCATCTAGTGATTTTAAAATCCCTTTTCTTTAGAGCACTAAATAAATTTGGGATCATTAGCCTAGAAGGATCAGTGTACTTACCAGTAACAATTAGGTACTTATTTTTAAAATGTCACCATACTTAATGCTCTCTCTGTCTTTTAAGCCTCCTCATTATGCAGGCAACATTTCTTCAGGGCAGCCTTACTTTAGGCAGGATATGCTAATTGCACTAAATCCCTTTTCAACAGTTTTTGAAGAAGCTCTATTCAGATGTTAGTATATTTACTTATAATTCACTTCTGCTGACAAACAATTCTGTAACTCTACATGGAACAGATGGAACAAATATTTCAAAAAGAATACCATCTGAAACAACCGTAATGCAGACTAAGTAATTATGTAAGGAAAGAAAATCCTTGAATCAATATTATCCTTCATTCATTCCTACAAACATATCCTGGGTATATGAGTCCCCAGGTTAGAAAGGGAAATTAATCAAGTACTGTCCTTGCTTCCAAGAAACTTACTACCAAGTAAGAAAGAGAGCTACATATATAAATAGGAGACAAAAAGAAAAATTTGTGGATATCCATCCATTTAATTCATTCCTGAGCATCTTCTACATGGCTACTGTGCATACTGTCTTATTAAATCAAAATAGATTTATAAGGTGGCTATTATTCCCTGTTGGTGTGTAAAAAAGGAAATGTACAGTGAGAGAGTAAGTTTAGTGTTTTCAAACAATGCTGTTAATACATTTAAGAAGTGAAATTTGACACTAATCTGTTTCTGCTATATGATAATTAGGCTAGTATTTATTTAACAAAATTGAGCGACACAAATGTGAGTAAAGCATGTGGGATACAGAGAAAGGAGTGGTTAATGTTTTCAGGTCAGTTTACAAACAGTGCTTGTGAAGATAAGTGCTGAAAGCAGCGGACTATCACAGGAGGGTTAATAATTGACACTGTCACTAGCTGGTGTTGAAAGTGTCCAGGGATCCTTGCCATTGATAGGTTTAGCCACCAGGGGTCGTGGAGATGTCTCATATATAAATAGTTCCCACTGCCATTTTCAATTTGATTTCTACCATGTATAAGGGAAATTATACACAAGAGAAATTTTTGTCGGTTTTATGTTCAAAATTCTGTTCCCTGCGTAGCACCACTTTCAGAAGAAAGATGCTATAAATAAATGTAGAAAAACTTGTGAACCTCCCTAATTCTATCTATTGAGACTATTAGCACCTCTTGTACTTCCATTTTCTAATTGTAGTATAGTGTAAAATTAAATAATTGCAGTATAGTGTAAAAATAAAGCTGGTAGTATACTTACTTGGTAACTGTAGGCATTTAATAAATGTTTGCTGAATAAATAAATGAATAATTTGATGGTGTCCACCAAGGATAACATAGACAGTGTAGTGGGACATTTAGACTAGAGCCTCAGTGTGTGCAATCTTTGTAACAAAATGTAATCAAGTTTCACATGCTGAAACCACCTACTCTAAATTAAAGAAACCATTAAACATTTTCTGAACAAACAAACCAATTAGTTTCTGCTCTGTATTTGTAGTTTGCGATAATGCATTTTAAATAAAGCCCTTTGAATGTGTTTTTATTGGTTATTTTTCTTGGTTTTAACACTCATTGTGTGTAAAGGCCTCTTAGAAAATTGAAAATAAAAGTCTCTCTTTACCGATTTTGTCATTTTCCATTTGTCAAGTATTGATTTTCTCCCCCTTTGTACATCTAATGGAGGTTGAAATTAGTGCTCTTTTTTTGGGTGTTGTTTACTTCTTGTTTGTGCACCCTCAAGATCATTTATCAAGCTGCCAGCCAGCTCTGGGGACAGTGCTGGTGAGTTAACTAAAGCTCCAGTCTACACAAGGAGAATTTTGAGTAGATTTTTGCCATAGCTTTGGCTCTTGCCTTTAGGATTTCTTTCCAAGAAAGATTTTGAATGTAGGGGATGCCACCCCAAAAATAAAATTTAAAAAAGAAAAAAATGAGTCAAAATATTCCTTTCAGCTTTGTTTGATAATGTAAAATCTAGAGATTCAAAGGAAAATATACAGAAGGTAAAGGAACCAATGGTTCTTCTCCAAAAGTACACATGAGCCCAAGTTGTGTACACTCAAGTCAGTCTGTTCTTCCTCTTGTGACACCAGAAGCCCTTGTTGTGACTTGTGAGAAGGAGGTCAGCAAAGGGTGACAGGCAAAAAGGAAGCATTCTGGAGGTTAACTAGTGAAGGGGCAAACTAGTAGATGCTGTATGATTTAGGCATGTACTTGCAAAAACATATTTTGCATGTATTTGCAAAAACATATTTTTCTGTTTCTGTCTTAGATTAACTGGATTAACTATGAAATTCTGACACTGAGAATAAATCCAGGAGAAGATACTTTCTCTTATGGGTAAGAATGCTAATTTCTGAGATAGGTCAGAAATCAACTGCACTTGACTATGAGAAATGGGTTGTGATGAATCTGGAAAAGCCACTAAAGAAAAGAAGATAGACCAGCAGATATGATATTCGTTAAAAAAATAGAACAACCATGGTGATTGTCTGTGTGCTTGTGATTTATACATGCTGGCAAGGTGTATGCTTTCCTCTCCTGTGGCTTGGCTCTCTTGATAGAGATACTGAGAGCCCATTGCTTGCTCAGCCCCTTCCTGCACTTTCAGTCCCTTACAGAACTTTCCCACAGCACGTTTCACAATGGTGGGAATCTTCTGCACCGCCTAATAGGAACAGTGGAAATATGCATAGTGTAGATGAAAAATGTGAATTTTAGTTGTAATTAATTAAAGTTTAAATTTGCAGAGACACATGTGACTAGTGTCTACTATATTGTAGAGTACAGTGAATTTACACTGATTAAAAGGATCATATCAGCTTGACTTCATAAGATAGGTTTTTCCAAAGTGCCCAGGTCTGAGACTTTTTTTGCTTGACTTCTGTAGAACATGCCTACACTGTATGCAGTGCTGACTATGTAATGATACAAGATATAGCCTGTGTCTTAAATGAATTATAGTTTAATGTTTTCTCACAGCATCAGGTTTTTTCCATAGAAGATTGGGCTATAATGAATGAAATAATATTGCTCTATTAAAAAAAAACTGAAATGGTGACAGACTAATGTAATAGGAAGCAAGGGCTTCACTAACTGATGATTGGAGGAATATATTAAATGACCTTTTTTGGTATTCATAATTTATACATTTTAAAGATATCGCTGAGGTAAAATATGTGCATAGTTTTGACATTTCAGGCTTGGCAAGCATTTTGTATCTTTAAGTATTAACAAATTTTTAAAAACTTGCTGACTTGGACTAGCCTGATTTTGGAGGCAAAGGCTGGGTTTCAATCCTGCCTCTGCTGCTTTCTAGTTTTGTGCCTCGAGCAAGTCATCTACTGACTCCAAACAGCAGTTTATTCATTTCTAAATGGGGTTAATAGCATCTTTTTCATAGTGTCATTAAAAGATTGAGACTTTATAAATAAATCAATGGGAAAAATAGTATTTGGTGACATTTAATGCTCACTAGGCACCAGGCACGGCTTTAGGTAGGTGACATGCATTAGTTTAAGTGTGCTGTTAATATCATGAAGGTACTGTTTCGCATTCCCCTCTTAGAGATGAAGAAACTAAGGCATGTGGAGATGTGTTTTCTTCAGCATATAGTGAGCACTCAATGGTTGCTTTGTTGTTATTTTATCATCATTATAAATCTTCTTACTGATGGTTTCCTATTATTAATGACCTATTTATGCAGAGCCAGTTAAACATTAAATTAAAAATGTTAATTTATTTTTTGTTGTACAAATTAGGTATTATTCATTTGTCAATGTCTTTTCCCAATTTCCACTTACTATTATTTCTCCTCCTCTTATGAACTTGAGTCTGGGCTGGATTAATAGCATATCACAAAGGTAAATGATATCACATATGATGTCTGTAATAAGCCAGTAGTGTGTGTTGTCTGGTGTTTGATATGGAAAGACCACACGCAGCGGTATCAGCCAGCAGTTCCAGTTATACGCAATGGTGACAAGCAAGAGCCACAGGAGATAGAGTCGATCTAGAAAAACAGCAACTAGAGTCATCCAAATAGCATGGAACAAACATGAAAAGAAGTCTCTTGCTTAGGATGGTCAAATTGAGACACTGCCCTTTGGATATAAGCAACTTGTAATAAGGGGCTGTAATAAACATTCAATACAATTCTGCCTCCAGAGTGGGAAGCATTGTACTAATAAGGGATAGAAAGTGATCTCATCAACACTGCAAGAGTGTTTCCTTCCTGTCTCTTGGCCACACTGAATCTGGCCCAATGGGTAACTGCACCATTTTGATTCAGGCAAATGGAGACCCAAGAAAATTCTGGGAGACCTTGCTGAAGCCTCACTTTAGCACTAGGTCTCTGGCTTTTCAGGAGTTAAGCTGCAGGCTTGAGGGCAGAGGGAAAAAGGCCAAATCCTCCCAGATGGTGTCCACCATTGAGTGGGGAGAGCAGAGAACCAGCCCATTAGGGTCCATGTCCCTTCTCATACTGACTTCCTTTGCGCAGGAGGCCCTGAGAGGGAATTTGTTTTGATTAGAATAATTAATAGCGAGAAACCATGGAAGAAGACGAACACTTTTCAATGATTCTTTTTTTTTTCTTGTCAGTATGCATATTGCTGAGTGCTTTGGGGCCTTCTTTATAAAGGTAATTAGGGATAGGACAAGCCCTAGGCTGACTTTGACAAATAGGCAGGGATATTTTCTCTCTCATCTTCACCCGAGAGGAGGAACAATCCTTTGCATACTACATAGTTTAAATTCCACTTTCTCGACAGATTCAGCAAATGGGCTAGGGAAACCAGAATCTATCTGTAACTTCAGGTCACAAGGGTTTTTGGTGAAAGCCAGCCCTCCCAATGAGATGTCCCTTGCTGGTACCTGTGTGTGAATCTATGCTTCTTGGAAGTCTCATTCTCTTCAGATATTTTGTCAGAGGCAACTTCTGGAATCGCCAATGCAATATGCCATCGTGGTGCTCATTTTTAAGATTAGAATTGCTTTCTTGTGTTGATGGTGCCATTATGGGCTTTGCTTTAAAGGAAAAATAAAGAGGGAACAACAAAAAAAGAGGGAACATTTATAACAGTTTAAGTTAACATAAGTTAGCTTAATGAGCAAAAAGCTTAGATTTGATGGAGGCACAATATTTGAAAATCTTTCCCTTCTCAATACAGGCAAATTAGACAAAACTCTCATGTTTAAAATAGTGATATTTATTTCACTATATGTATATCAGGACATTATGTTGTGCACCTTAAATATATACAGTGACATATATTAAAATCTTGAGGTAATGAAAACACTGGAATTTGAGAAATACACAAGTTTAAAACTCATTAATAAGGCATCACAGAACAAACGTATGCCACCCACTAGGTTTAAATTTTATATTAAAATATGTTCTTCAAGTATATCCTTCAAGCACTGGGTAAATAAAACTCAACATAATCTTTTCAATATACCTTTGTCAATCTACGATTTATTACAGGGTCACCTCTTTAAAAAGAAACTATGCAATACCTAGTTCATTTTGAAATTACAACTTTATATAGAACTATAAGGAAACCCTCAACTATCCTACTTGATTTGGATTTATCTGTTATTAAACAATTAGATTTTCTTCTCTTATTTTAATGCATACATACTTTACATAGATGTGATCAGAGCACATATAACTTTTGTGCTCAACTTAATTGTTCTTATTATTTTTCATAAATACATTTCTATAATTTTTAGAAAGGTTTATAGTTGTCCCTCCTCTTATATAATTGCCTTTTGATGTCCTTTGCTCTGTTGGATATTCGAGTAGTATTCTTGTATTTTCATGATGTATACCATGTATATTATAGGTATTCTTAATTATTGTCCACATTAAAACTTGCTATAGAAGGCTTCTGTGGGTGGTTCACATATGTAGCCTGGGCCTGAAGGTCAGCTGTGGAGGGCTTCCTGTGTTTCTCTCTGAGTTTTCTGGAGAAGTTGCCTAAAATGCTGGGAAGATAACAGCATGGCCTAGTAGCAACTAGCTGTATTCTCTTTTATTAGGATAATTCTTAGGTTTGGGCCATACAATTTTTCTACTACATCGATACCCGAGTGGCCCCCTCCCCATGATCTTATTAATACATCTTTGTCTTAACTCCCTATCTGTTGCCCTTGTCACTTTCACCTTTTTGGATCACTCTCAAAATAAACAGTTTATACCTAATCATTGTCTGAAGATCTATTCTGGGGGACCTATTAGAGGCTGATCAGATCTCCAATCACCTGACCAAGGGTACAGTGAAAGGATAATAAAAGACAAGTTAAGATCTTAATTCATAAATGGGGGGCCCAGGATGGTCAAAGCTCTTACCAGGCTAAGACACTGTCTCTTGGAGCTTGTCACTATTTATTTATTTATTTTTGGTACTGGAGATCGAACTCGGGTCCTTGCACTTGGGCAGCAGGTGCTGAAACAACTGAGCTAAATCCCCGGCCCATTGCCACTATTTATTGAACATACAACTTCTTGAAGGGCCAAGGGGTGGTGCAGGGAACAATGCAGTGGAGAGCACTGACACAAGCAGGGTCCTAGCAACAAGGGAACAAGACATTCTAGTAGAAACAGACCACGGATTAATGGGAAATTTGTTTTTTCCCATAGATTAATTTCTGCCTCCATAGAAGTTTCGTGAATGAGTCATGTTGCCCTTAGCTGGATCATTGTCTTGCCATCCAAGATGTCACAGCATGATGGATCACTGAGACCTCTGCTGTGACCAGTGGTGTGGGGAGTCATTCCTTCCCCACATACTAACTGCTGGCTCTTCAGGCAAGCCATTGTGGGATAATAGGCAGACACAGACTTTTACTATGAAAAGCCAATTTATGAATTTGTAGCTTGCTCAGGGTGGTTTCCATCAGGGACTCAAACTGAATAATTTGCAAAATACGTGTCCTCTCATAACTCCCCTTTCCCAGTATTTTGTGGGAACAGTGCTTACCAGTGTGTGGGCTGTCTTCTGGCAAGGATATTTCTCTCTCTATCAACTTTCTTTTGTAGAGAGCTGTTCTCTGATGCATTTTTTTCATCAGGTTGTGGAGCTGGGCATCAGCATACTCATTTATAACAGGGACTCCAAGTGGGCTAAATGAGAGAAAAGAGCAGATAGAGATGGGCCTATGAGGAGATACTTATAGGGGAGGGATAGATTATTTTTCACCTTCCTTCTATAATCAAGATTATTAATTTCCTCTTCTTTCAATTGCAGAGAACAATTCAAAGATTAAAATTTAATGGAAAATGTTATGGTAGAATATAGATTTGTCAATGAAAAATGATTATTCTTGACAATATTGGATCACGATGGCTGTGGTTCTGTCATTAAATTGTATTACTAGAAGAAATTCCTAGTGTTGTACGACTGACATCCCTGTTTTCTTGTTATCAGCTAGCTGGGAATCACTCTCAGCCTGTTAGAGGCCTTATGCAGTTTTTTTTTTTTGGTACCGGGGCTCAAACTCAGGTCCTTGCGCTTCCGAGGCAAGCGGCGGAATCACTGAGCTAGATCCCCAGCCAGGCCTTGTGCAGTTTTTGCCAGGCTGAGCTCATCCCCTGGCTAATTGACAGCAAGAAAATAAGGGTCACAGTCCATATTCCCCAGGAATTAATCTTTGCCATAACTTGAATAGTTTGCGAAGTAAATCCCTCTCCAAAATCTACAAATAAAAGCCTTCGCGGGGCTGGCTGACACTTGGATTTCAGCCTTGTGAGACTTTACGCAGAGAACCCAGTCAAGCCCACCTTCTGATGTATGGAACTGTGAGCTAATAAATAGGTGCTGTTTAAACCACTGAATTTGTGGTAATTTATTATGCAGCAATAGAAAAAGATACAGATAGTGTGTTTTAATGAATTTTCCTCATGAGAAAGCATACAAACAGACTGGTTCAAGGCATAGGGTATAAACTTGTTCATTTCATAAAGATCTGAATTTTCTTCCTGCTTCCTCTCAGAGCTCTCACTGTCTGTCTTCCTTCTGATGTCTCAACCTGGATCTTCATGGGTCCATATAGGCTCCTTCCATTTTCATTTCCTCACAGTCACGAATTAATTCCCTTTCCACCTCCCTGCCTCATTTCCATGGGATTCACAGTGAAACTGAGTAGCCTGGACATTGCAATGAAGAGCACAGTGGTGTAAGTTCCTATTTGTGAACATGTTCCCTTCTTGGTCCTCAGATATATCACATCTGTAACTGTTTATAGATCACTAGACTATTAGTGTTTTTATCTCTTCTATTCTGATTATCATGATTTATACCTCTTTAGAAGGTCAAAGGTCCAGTCTCAGCATAAAGATTTTTCATTTAATCATGTATATAAGCCTGCTTAAGAATAGTGAAGACAGGTCTGCAGACGCCCTACCGAGGTCACGAGTCGTGAGGAACATGCCAAATCAGCCCACACCCCGGCAGCAATCCACTGGACACCCCC